TATATATACATATTAGGGCTGTCAGTCGATTAAAATCTTTTAATTTGATGATTTTATCATCATTACATGATGTTTCGATTAATTAATCTAATTCCCTTTAAGGGTATTCTATAGTCTTTGAAAATACCTTTTTATGTACCACAAAAGAAAGGTTTGAAACGACATGAGGAACATGAGAGTAAATGATAACAGAATAAAAAAAATTTGGGGTGAACCATCCCTTTAATTTTTTTATTTTTATTATTATTATTAATGAATGAATTAATTAATTAAATGATACTCTAAATAAGAAACTAAATCTGCCAGGAGGTGGCGGTAAATGTAATTCATTCGATTCTTTCAAACGGCTGATTCATTCAGGAATGAAGTAAATGGCTCTCTTTATGAACGGGCTACTGAATCATTGGTTCACACAATTCGTTCAAAACGCGGATTCATTCAGAAACTAAACAAGGCTGTGTTGCTCGGAGACGCACAATAGTTCTGCTATGGCTTTAAAGGTAATATATTATTTGCAAAATTGAGCAAAAACACATAATATTGTGTTAAAATTTAACACAATATCAACTTCTTATTTACTGAACTGTTGTATAAAATCACATTTCAACTTGTGATGTCACGAAAAATCAGCACTCGTGTAATTACCTGCTCGCCCTGCTCCTGTGATATCGTATGATATAAATATGAGACAAAAACACGTAAAGGGGCATTTTTGCACCAATATCTTGAATTTTAGGGGATAACTGCATTTATGGAGTTGTTGCCCTGCATCATATTTTGTCAACAGTATATGAAATGTGAGATGATGTACAGGTCTGGGGTCGGGGCCAGTGCGTTAACTGTGCTAACTATTTTAATCGCGTTATTTTTTTATAACGAATTAATTGTTAACGCGTTAAACTGACAGCCCTAATATAGACTATATATTTTATATTTGATCAAAAACAGTAAAAACAGTACAATTTGAAATATTAATACAAAATTGTTTTCTATTTTAATATATTTCAAAATAATTTATTTCTGTGACAGCAAAGCTGAATTTTCAGCAGCCACTACTACTAAATTCAGTGTCACTTGATCCTTCAGAAATCATTATAATATGCTGATTTAGTGTTCAAGAAACAATAATAACAATCTTATTATTATCAATGTTAGAAACAGTTGTGCAGTTTAATATGTTTGTGGAAACTGTGATACATTTTATTTCAGGATTCTTTGATAAATAAGTTAAAAAATTTACTGTCACTGTCACTTTTGATCAATGTAATGCAGCCTAACTAAATGAAAGTATTTATTTCTTTCAAAAGAAAAAAGCACATTTTTGTATGGTTATGCAGTGGAATATGGCTACTGTACATGAAGATCCATGATATGAAATGTTTATTTTAATATAAATCTTGTTCCTTATATTTTGTTATGAGGGTTAGTACTATTACTTAGAATGTTTCTTCCCCCCAAAAGGGTTTGCAGTCTGCTCACCCATTTTAAGGATCCATGTGTCCAGAGGGAGCTTGGGTGGGATGCTCTCAAGTCCCTTCTTCTGACAATTGACTTCAGTCTTTTCCGTACTGGATTTCTGGCTGCATTTACAAGCATCAGGGCAGTTTTCCACGGCCTCCACAACCCACAGCCACAGCACGGCTAACCCTGCAACCAGCTTCATATCCCTGAAAACACACAGAGCCAGTGATTTAATTATGCCATAATCCTACTGAAAATTGCATTAGGAGTATTACTGCAAAAAGAAACCCACATATCGCCTCAAAACGGACAATGTTTGTATTAGATGCAAATTACTTATGCAGACTTACCTTGTGACCAGATGCTTAATAGGACTTCAGCTTCTAAATTCAAAGCTGCTGTTTCACACAAAGCTAGCAGTCGGTCTGTGCTCGGGTCTGAAATGAGCCGAAATGTTTGCCTCTCTATCAAAAAAGTGCAAGGTCTGTAAAAACTCCCAGCACAGCAAGTTGGTGAGAAAAATGACATGCACAGATCATGACAGGTTACCTGCCAAATGAACTCCTCTCCGCTAGAGAGAAATGTGCGGCCATGTGTTTTTGCTTGGGTGTGTGAATTCACAGGGCACCTTATGCATGGCTTTGATTGTTTAACTTGGCACAGGTACGGTCTGGTTGACGGCAGATTGATGTCACTGTTATATCAGTGAGCACACATGATAATAGGGTGGGTGGGTGAGCACTAGTGATCAGTGCAGGCGCCACAACCGCTCTGCCCTCTGAGAGCCTGCTGAGCTGATAAGGACAAGGACCTCATACATCTTCCCCCTTGGGCTTTTCATGGCATTGTCCGCCAGGATTAACAGTAAGAGCGAGTCACAGTTTCTCAGTTTCTCACGAGCATCATCAGTGTCACTCTCATTTTACGCTTTGAAAGAGGAGGGCTGGCTGCAGGAAACGCGCAGACCTCTAGAGATGTTATTATGGCTGCGTCTTTAAGTTTGACGTGTCTGTTCACCGAGATTATTTTATTGCGTGATAAAGACGAAAGCTCTTTCAAGGCCCGCCAACAGCAACACAATATGCAAAGCCATCTGGAGCAGCATAATTATAATTTCTCCAGCTCAAAGCTGAGAAAAACTGACGCACCGCCTCTCGCTACCCAAAAAGAGGAGCAGTCAGAGCTGATAAAAAAACGTCTGTGTGATTCTGATTAATAGGAAAGTGTTAATGTTGCATCTGTTCTTTAACCATTATTAATTTCTGTATCAAGTAAACAAACAAAAACAGCTAGATAAATCAAAGTTTGAAGTGCATTTCATGCTTGCTTTCATGCAGCTATACATGCACACACTACTTTCAGCATCAGTGAACTCCCTCCTACCACCAATCAGATGGATGTGTTGTTGTAAAATTAAACTGCGTCTCGAAGGCATTTCTCACTGCACTACAGCTCCGCTCTCATGCTCTGTCAGCGATGCCAAAGAGTACCAAAGCTGGATAAATTCCTATCATTTCCAGTGCTGTAATAAACTGCAAATGGACTCAATCAACCGCATCATGCTGCAGTCAAGAACACAAAGATTGAAGACAAAACAACATATTACTAGAGGCCACATACCGTCTTAGATTTGTCCACCTTCAATGCTTGGGCTCTATTAACAATGCCCATCTAGCTCTGTATGAGGGGAAACGATGGGTAACCTTTTATATTAGTCCCTGGTGAGTTATGATGAATGCACTTGGCTTGGAGTGTGTAGCCTCTCCATATGCATATATGAAACACAATTGAGCAAATTTTTGACTCGATTTCACATGAAACATCATTTGACTTCAATTAAATTGGTATTTATACAGTCACCGAAATTATAGGGCTAGGTAAAAAATATCATTATCTCGATATTAATCGATTCTCATTTTTCCGGAATATCGATTCTTACATCCCAAGAATCGATTACTCTAGCCAGTTTTCAGCTAATGGACGGAACATTGAAAGGCAATTCCCGTCCAATAAATCGTAATAAGCATTGTGCTTTGGTACTTTCAATATGTAACAAAGTCTCAGATTTCAAATGCTGTCCATTGTATTGCAGTATTTAAACAATAAATGCCATTGTGGCGCTGTTTTAATGTGGAGTGACATATTGCTGTAGCGCTAGGGATATGACGGTATCAAATTTTCATGTTGCGATTAATTGCTAATGCTTTTATCACGGTATACGGTATTATCCCGATATTGACATGTAGTTTTTAAAAAAGTGCTGTCATAATACAGTATAACAGGTTTAATAACTTTTTTCTTATAACAAAAATAACTGAACATTTAAATGCAATAAAGCAATACAGAAAAATGTATAAAGTTAAAAGTTTTACACAGATTAAAGTGCAAAAGAACTTTAAAGACCAATAGGTATAACTTTACAATAACACCTCTTTAGTTAACCTTAGTTAATGCATTAACATTCACAATGAGTAATAGCTACATTTGCTACAGAAGTTATTAATCTTTGTTTAAAAAATACAAGTCTTAGTTCATGTTAGCTCATTGAATAACACAGTTGCAACTTTCGATTTTAACAACGTGTTATTAAATATTGTAATTACCTAAGATGAATGAATATTCAGAAGAATTTTTTATTGGCAGTTTATGTTAACTAATTAATTAACTAATGTTAACTAATGAAGCCTTAATGTAAAGTGTGACCGAACAATAAAGAATCAAAACACTTTCAAACAATATCTCGGGCATGTTGTAGTCCAGATTAAAATGTAAAAAAAGATTGAAAATAAATAGCCTATTAAGTCTAAATATTTAAGTATTTGGCGCTGTGATGAACATCATAGCAAATACACAAATCTGAATGGCTGTTTAAATCATTTAAACACGATTCAGAAACAGAAAGTAGAGCAGCTGCTTTGTTTACAGGGTTTCAGGGGTAACGGCTGCATTTAAATGAATTATTATTATTATTATTATTATTATTATTTCTGCAATTTAGCGCCATCTGCTGTCAGAGAGTGAAAGTGCGCTTTCATACAGAGCGTCTCTCACATGTTCCGCCATGTGCTTCTCGTCCTATTTACATCAGAGTGCGCACGCGTCTTTCACGCAGCATACAGCCATGTTGTGCATTTTGATCAGTTGATGGGAAAAGTATTCTTAAAATGCATTCAAAATAATTTGAATAATTTGTAATATATAATTATTCACGGTATTTGGAAGTGCCCACGATAACAATATCGTGCATATTAATTACCGTGATATATCGCATTACCGAATACCGGCACAAGTCTATGTAGCGCCTAAGTGAACTGATCATCTCCTCCACTTTAATACTAGTTATAGCACAAAATAAACATGACTAAACATCCGAAGGTAAGTTAAAAGAAAGAGTACAACTTTCTCATGTAACATTAATCGCTCAATCAGTGTTTCAGCCGCGCAAAGACGTCAATATAACGGCTTGTAAACAATATGTCACGTAACGTCACATTTACCTCAGAAAAAAACATATTCGGTGACCATAATCTCATTAGACAGAAAAATAAACTGTAGAGAGGGGCATTTTGCTAATATGTACCACATAACATATTCATTATAATTTTTACTGTTCTTCAATGTTTAATTTATGTTTGAATAAATCCATCAAGTTTTTATGACAGCCACCATTTAAAATGTTTATATTCAAAAAAAATTGAAGTAGAAATATGTAATTGTAACTTTATAATTAAAAAAATAATAATTCAGTGTAATTTTAGCAGTTGTATAGCCTACAAATCAGTCAATTTTAACCTTCAATATTATAGTAATTTAGTACCATCTGACTCTCATGTATATTTTACAGCATTAGTTGAGAGATTTTTTTTCCTTGAGAAAATTTGGCATGTACTGTACCTGATATATATCCAAAATAATCGATATTGAATTGAATCGAATTGGTAATCGAATCGAATCATGAAATTTGTGTCAAAACCCAGCCCTACGAAATTATGTGTTAAAAACAGTTGTTCAAATATGCTAAACTCTTAAGAAATTGTCATGGGAAAGAAGAAAAGTTTAGTTTAAAAGTGAAAAGCACTTCATACAGATCCAGGCTAACAGATGTAGTCTCTAATAAAGCACAATTTAGCATGACACTAAAACCAATTAGCTTTCTAATGTGCACATTCATGGGTACTTCATTTGTTGCGCACTGGCCAAGGCATGAAATGGTTTCATGCATCAGTCACTTTGTCATTTCCCTTGATGAGGGAAGTGATACTCTGACACTAGATCCTTCACCCCAGGAGCCCAAAATAAACATCCTTATGCCAGCTGACCCATCACAGAGCAAGCCCTACATCAATTGTACATCACATTGCTGACATCTAGTGCTAGACTGCAGCTAATGCATAAGAATCATCACTGATGAGTCTAAAAGCGCCTGTTCCTCCTATACTCATCCATCACGCATCCGCAAGACTCCAGTATGGGGACAGGCCCTAAGTAAAGGAATACAAATGTGACAAATTAATGTTTACTCACCCTTCAAACCCCGACTTATCTTCCGTGGAACACAAAGGGAGGATTTCTGAAGAGTATGGATCTGCCATTCATAGTGAGGGATATGTCAAGCTTCAAAAACGATAAAAGAAAGAGAGATTGTTGTAACTTACTTGCAACCGACTGGCAACAATGGATTATGTGGCCTAACTAAACTTCGACGTTTCCCGCCCGAATTTACTGTTTCAATATGAAACATGTCAGAAATTAAAGAAATTTAGTGCGTAATCCGAATATTTTAAAATTTGGGTTGCGGAAGTGCGGCACACAAATGGTTAAACAGAGAGCGCTAATGTATGTCAGAAATTAAAGAAATTTAGTGCGTAATCCGAATATTTTAACATTTGGGTTGCGGAAGTGCGGCACACAAATGGTTAAACAGAGAGCGCTAATGCAACATGGGAAATATAAAAAAAAATACAAGTGCTCAAATTCCTTTAACACTTTCGCTGAACTTGAATTTACATATTTCTCATATGACATACTTCGGTCGCAGATCACAACTGTGTTGTCACGCTCTGCTCGTGCTGCACACAAAAACGCACCTGTATGAACACAAAACATGTATAGTCTGATTCACGAACAAATGACTCTTGTGAGTCGGTTCATTACAATGAATCGTTTTACGAATCATCCACTGAATGAACTAAGGAATCTGTGAGAGTGGCTATAGAATCAACAAATGATTCACCTAAGTAACGTCTTTTTTATAGCTACCAAGTCTGTCAATGATTTTAGTATGCCCCAAATGTAGAAGTATGACAACGAAAATAAAAAAAAAAGGAATTCGTTTATTTGTTCTTTTTCTCCACTAAAAAGTTTTTGATTGGTCAAGTAGTTGAAAAAGTTTGGGAACCCCTGCTCTAATTAACCAATTGCATGCCATATTTGAAATGTTCAGTCAAATAACTAACATTGCAATATTACTAGATGACAACACACTAGTAGTACTATTGGGTGATTGCATACTACATATAATTCTTGGTTTGCCTAACAATGACTAGTCATCATACGGCTTTCTAATACTAAATGTCCACCTACATTAATTCTTCAGAAAAAGATCTTAAGTATGGCATGGTGAGTAGATTGGCTTTGTTGGGCTCTAGTCTGTACCTGCAAAGCCATCAGTAGTTCAAAAGCACTTATTTCCTGCTCAGTATATATGCTATATGCTTTGCTGATATGATAACCTGCAGAGCTGAGAAACAGCTGCTATACTGAACAGACAGCGTAAAACTCTTTAAAAAAATTATTTTATTCTTATACTGAAACACTGTTCATGTTAACAGCTATTTAGTCAGTACACACACACACACACACGTATATTAAAAATCCACAGATTCAACATAACAAATTACTAATATAGATGAGAAAGTACTGATTCTTTCTCACGATGACACTACACATCTCTCTGATGGGTCACTGAGTTTTTACCATTCTGTTAGCAAATATTTCAGTTATGCATAGCTCTTATTTCAATTACAAGCCATATTAGCATACCATCATAACCAATTCAGTCCCTAGAGAAATTCAATTGTAAGATAAATAATTAAAGGAAGATAATTGAAAGCATGTTAATAATAGTATTAAGTACGTAACTATTAAATATCTTCAAAAACGTAACCTATAAAAGAATGTATTCTGAACATTTCATTTTGTGGCGACACGTGTGACAGACGGTTTGTCTAGAGTGGTTTAATTAATGCATATTTAAAAATGGTGTTTGTACAGAAATTGCATGCCAGATAACAAAATGTATCAAAAGTGAACATTATAAAATTTAACCAGATAAATAACATTGTACAATGCTTCATTTCACTGCGATAAAGTAAAAGCTCATCTTAGCTATAAACACGTATTTCAAACTTTCATTAGGACAAATGTTATGCCCACAGGTGATATACTTGCATAAAAGATAACTTAAGAAAAGCTTTACATTACACATTCACAGTTTAGCATTGCCATTTTAAATTAAAACCTTAATGAAAAAGTAAAGAAGTGACACTACCTTGTACAAGATTGAAGTTCAAAGTTATTGTTAACAGCAAACAATTATGATTTCGCAAAAGATATTGAGACACTTCACATAGTGCCTGAAATCCAGTTTCCAAAAACGGACTAAAAACAAAACAAATTTTTACACTGTTTTCAACTGGAAAAAAATCTGAGGTAGCAAAGCCAAATTTTGTGAACTCTGAATAAAAGAAAGTTGTTTAACAGTGCATAATGCCTAAAATACAAACCAAACCTAACATTTTTCTATTAAATATGTACAGAAATTAAGAAAATATAGTTTTGTTGTTGTTGTTTTTTTCCTACAAATTGCTGGTCCTGAGAAAGAACATTACATCTTTTCTTACTATACATATCATCTTAGCTATAAACACGTATTTCAAACTTTCATTAGGACAAATGTTATGCCCACAGGTGATATACTTGCATAAAAGATAACTTAAGAAAAGCTTTACATTACACATTCACAGTTTAGCATTGCCATTTTAAATTAAAACCTTAATGAAAAAGTAAAGAAGTGACACTACCTTGTACAAGATTGAAGTTCAAAGTTATTGTTAACAGCAAACAATTATGATTTCGCAAAAGATATTGAGACACTTCACATAGTGCCTGAAATCCAGTTTCCAAAAACGGACTAAAAACAAAACTAATTTTTACACTGTTTTCAACTGGAAAAAAATCTGAGGTAGCAAAGCCAAATTTTGTGAACTCTGAATAAAAGAAAGTTGTTTAACAGTGCATAATGCCTAAAATACAAACCAAACCTAACATTTTTCTATTAAATATGTACAGAAATTAAGAAAATATAGTTTTGTTGTTGTTGTTTTTTTCCTACAAATTGCTGGTCCTGAGAAAGAACATTACATCTTTTCTTACTATACATATAAAAAAAAAAATCCCATCATACACAATATACAAAAGCATTACACAAACTGTCATTACAAAAGCCAACGGTAAATAGCCAAGCAGATACTTTAAATGTGTATATGTGTACATAAAATGAGATTTAAAGTTACGGATTATGCAAAACAATCTTGTGAGTAAAAAAAAAAAAAAAACATCTGTACAACAATATACAACTTTAAGAGATCGAAAATGGGGCAGTGTCCACAATCCGTAAACGTTTTGTGACAATGCAGAAAATTTGGTTTTTAATTTGATGCTCAATTACAAAAAAGTCAAAGATTTAAAAAAAGACGCCAAGCTGCTAACAATTCATTCAATGTCATCCTGAGGAAAGTTTTATTTGCCCCGAGTGTCCGTAACAGATCGAGTCTGTGAGTCCTCAGTATATTCCTGGGAAAATGCGGTACGGGACAGCTTTGCAGTACTCGTCCCACGCAGAGCCGTACTTTTTCCTGCACTGGTGCTCGTCCCGTGCGTTACGGTGCACCAGCAGAGTGATCAAGTAAATCAGGTAAAAGTACGGGATCAAATGGTTGAATCCTACAGGAAAGATCAGGAATTAAATGCAGGACTGAGTCAAGTCAGACTGATAGGACAGCTTCACTTCATCAGAAAGGTGAACTGAAGTCAAATGCTTACCGCACGGCAGAGACCAGGCCAACCCCATGATGATGTCACCCAAGTAATTAGGATGACGGACCCACCCCCAGAGACCAGACACAATAAGACTCTCTCCAGTTGCAGTAGGGATGGTTTTCAGGTCTGATAAGATAAAAAAACAAACAAACATTTTTTTTTAAACCAAACTATTTTAACATTCTATGTTTGTTCACAAACACTTACGAGACACTGCTGGGTCAGAAGGGTTCTTCCTGAAGGCAAACTTCTGAGAATTGGCTTTCCGGAAAATATAGTATCCAACTCCTGTTAGAGAAGTTAAAAACTTACGTTTAAAATCTGAGCATATTGATAAAACCTATATTAGCATCTTTCTGGTGTAGCTAAAGAAAAATTGATCAAAAACACAGCAGAAACTGACCATTCATAGTGATGAGAGTAATGATCCAGAATGCAGAGAGTTCATTGGGATGGCTGACTAGATAGTAGGCTTGACAGGTGAATGTGAAGGGAACAAAAGCCAGATCTCCAAATGTCAACATAAATCCGAAGCCATCGTACACTATATCCATCATAGTCAGAAGTTTCTCCTGAAATACAGAGTGACTTGATTACAATCAGTTATGGTTTCCACACCGCATTAAGAAACAATTGTGTTTGATTTGGAAAACACTTGTTGTACCTCATGCCAAAAGCCATCAACGACCCACAGGAGCTGGAAGATGTTGACCAGGAGCATCGCTGGAGAGGGATTCTCTAGATTCTGGTGCTTCATTTCAGCTTGCAACATTGCAAAGTTAATCAATACCTGTGGAAACAAGCAATGATTATGTTTCTTTAATTGGTGAAAAAGAAAACAATATAGCACACTACATTAAACAGCTAACATGATTGAAAAAGTGAAATTTGAGTGTTACGGATTTCATCCCTGCAAATGGCAACATTTTGACCACAAGAGGGAGCGATTACAACATCAGTCTAACCAAACTAAACCATCACTGGAAAGATGTAAAACAATAAAAATACTCACCCAACCCATCAGGCCTGGGCGCATTTCACAGAAGAACTTGATATCGAAGTTCTTGATGCGGGGGTTTAACTCTCTGCCCATGAAGAAGTCATAGATAATGTAGCCTAGAGGAATAAAAGAACAAGAACAAACTTTTAAATATACTTAACATAAATGGAAATTCTCCCTTGCAATCTCTATAAATTGCTCTTAATGGAAGGCTTATTTACTAATGATAAACAGCTGTGATTGGTCAAACTGAGAAAAAGTAGCAGGAACTATATGGCAACTCTGTTTGGATGATTATTTAAACCTAAATAATGGTGATTAGAAACTTTAAAAGCCATTGTGAAAATACCCAGAGCTAAAATTGGAGAAGACAGTCAATGCAGCCTGATTTTACACTAAACATCTTACCAGAGTTGCCTCCAGGAGCGAGCTCATCTTCAGACGCCCAGCGGGAGCGGATGAAAAGGTAGATGCTGAGAAGAGTGACGATGAGCAGGGCCGAGGTGTAGAACTGCAGGAAGTGAGCATGGATGTAGCTGAGATCCCCCTCCTGATACATGGCAACACCTACTGCCACAGCCGTGAGGAGAAGTGCATAGAAACCTGATACAGAACACAATCAGAGATTATTAAGCAGATCACTCACAACTATCTGAGTAGTAAAGTTTTAAAAACCAAACGTAAATATGACTCATTTTAAAGGGGTAGTTCACTTCCAGAACAAAAATGTACAGATAATGTACTCGCCCCCTTGTCATTCAAGATGTTCATGTCTTTTTTTCTTCAGTCGTAAAGAAATTATGTTTTTTGAGGAAAACGTTTCAGGATTTCTCTCCATATAATGGACTTCTATGGTGCCCCCGAGTTTGAACTTCCAAAATGCAGTTTAAATGCAGCTTCAAAGGGCTCTAAACGATCCCAGCCAAGGAAGAAGGGTCTTAACTAGCGAAACGATCAGTTATTTTCTAAAAATATGTACAATTTATATACTTTTTAACCTCAAACGCTCGTCCTGTCTAGCTCTGCATGAACTCTGTGTATTTCGGTTCATGACAGTTAGGGTATGTCGAAAAACTCCCATCTCATTTTCTCCTCCAACTTTAAAATCATCCTACATCACTGCAGAAGTACCGACCCAGTGTTTACAAAGTGAACATGCAAAGAAGATCAAATGCCCTTTACAAAAAAAAATGTAAAACCGCGATGTAGGATGATTTTGAAGTTGGAGGAGAAAATGAGATGGGAGTTTTTTTGACATACCCTAACTGTCATGAACGGAAATTCAGAGTTCACGCAGAGCTAGACAAGTCAAGCATTTGAGGTTAAAAAGTATATAAATTGTACGTATTTTTAGAAAAGACCCTTCTTCCTTCGTTTAGAGCCCTTTGAAGCTGCATTTAAACTGCATTTTGGAAGTTCAAACTTGTGGGCACCATAGAAGTCTATTATATAGAGAGAAATCCTGAAATGTTTTCCTCAAAAAACTATTTCTTTACGACTGAAGAAAAAAAGACATGAACATCTTGTATGACAAGGGGGTGAGTACATTATCTGTCAATTTTTGTTCTGGAAGTGAACTACTCCTTTAAGTTTGTTAAATGGTAGTGTTTTAGATTGACATTAGAAATGATAACATAACATGTATCAACAATGAAGACTAACCATTAATCCTGTATTTCAAAGTTTTCCCATTCTTGAGAGGCATTCCTTCAACGAGCTGTAGGGTGGAGAGATGGAGAGAGATGAATGATTTACATGTGACCACTAATCAGTGTTGCTTTTAACTAAAACTAATCATTGTTAACTCAAATAAACCTGAAATAAACCAAAAATAAAATATTAGATGAAAAACTTTACTTAAAGGTAGAAAGAAATTAAACACAAAGTATTAACTAAATTAATACGAAGTACTAATTATATTATACTTACTATACTATTACATTATTATTATTATTATTATTATTATACTTGTTAAGTTGAGAATAAAAGATAAATTAAAGCTAAACAGATATCAAAACCTAAAATGGCAAAAGCACATAAAAGTGAAAAATTAAGTAAAAATATGACAACAAAAACTAATTTAAAATATTAATAAATACTATAATGTATATAATTTACTAACATTAACACCAGTGGGTCAAACGGTATAGTTCTGGAATGTTTGATAAAAACAAGTTTAACATTAATTTTTGCATTTTCATAATATTTCAATCATAACTAAAATCTTACATTATGATATATTACAGTGATTCTCAAATATTTTATATATTTCATAACCATGTAGTAACGTCTGTTGTTCTAGTGACCCTAATACTTTCTAAATAAAAGGGACACAATCCAAAGTAATACTCATGAACAAATAAGTCTGGCAAAGAGCCGTTTCATGTTATGCAACACGAGTTAAAAACAAAAAGCAGTAATACATTAAAATGTGACTGGATAAACCACATATAAACCGGTTGTATTTTTTTAAGTCTGTAATAATGCATCAAGTAGTGACGTTGCTTTGCAATTGTATAAAAATACATAGTTATAGTGTGATTAGACTGGATGAGAGTGGATGTGATGCAATCAAACTAAATCTTTCTGCTTGGGGTCACATATTATGCAGTAGATAAAATAAAATAAACCAGCCCTATCAAAAACAAGTCCACAAACATACTCAATATTAAATGATCGCTTGGCAATCAGCTCCTTTATATTTCTGAAAAACCCAGAATCATCTTCAAATAATCTGTTTAAAGTCATGGAAACGTGCTGCAATTTTCAGATCCTATCTTAATTACCCTAATGAAACCAGATGTTTTCCAGCGAGGCTCTCTATCTGCATGCTACCAATAGTGATTAATCTAATCTAGCCTGCTTTACTACAGCTAACAGGCAAAGCAGAAACAAGATGCATGGAGTTATGTGGTCCGCAATTTCAATTCTCTGTGTGTATGTGCTGTACATGTGGAAGAATTGACAATAAAGCAGACTTGACTTGACTTATGCAGTAGATAAAATAAAATAAACCAGCCCTATCATGTTATGCAACACGAGTTAAAAACAAAAAGCAGTAATACATTAAAATGTGACTGGATAAGCCACATATAAACCGGTTGTATTTTTTTAAGTCTGTAATAATGCATCAAGTAGTGACGTTGCTTTGCAATTGTATAAAAATACATAGTTATAGTGTGATTAGACTGGATGAGAGTGGATGTGATGCAATCAAACTAAATCTTTCTGCTTGGGGTCACATATTATGACCCCAAGTCATATTATGACCCCAAGAGAACTTCTCTCTCTCCCGACAGAAAGGTGTTTTCGTGGTATTATGCAGTAGATAAAATAAAATAAACCAGCCCTATCAAAAACAAGTCCACAAACATACTCAATATTAAATGATCGCTTGGCAATCAGCTCCTTTATATTTCTGAAAAACCCAGAATCATCTTCAAATAATCTGTTTAAAGTCATGGAAACGTGCTGCAATTTTCAGATCCTATCTTAATTACCCTAATGAAACCAGATGTTTTCCAGCGAGGCTCTCTATCTGCATGCTACCAATAGTGATTAATCTAATCTAGCCTGCTTTACTACAGCTAACAGGCAAAGCAGAAACAAGATGCATGGAGTTATGTGGTCATGTGCCTAATCCTGGGTCACGGGGAGTCATGTGATTGTGACAGTACCTTTCCGACAGGGAGCAGGGAGAGAACGGCCTGGAAGAGAAGCCAGAGCAGGACGATGCCAAAGACCTGACAGTCCCAGAGAGACTGAAGGGCAGGGAGCTCAAGAGGGAAGCTCTGGAGACTGGCATCCTTCTGCCCGCCGAGAATGAGCAATGCCAACACAGCCACAGGCAACAGAAACATCAGGAAGAACACACCTGAAAGACAAGAGGGAATGGATAATCATAGCTTATGATTTACTTTAAATATCCTGGAAATAGCTATTTAACATTTAAATGCACAATATTCTGATAATAATTAATATTTAATATTTCCCTGCTTGCTTTGCTGTAGACTTTGAGACCATACTGTGAGACCATATTCTACTTTTTTTTAAGCTTTTTGTTTGTAGCAAATGTGTTAATATGCTCAGACCAACATTTTGCATCAGGTTTGTGCTGTGGATGTCTACACAGTCCAAAATCACATTAAATTGCTGAGAAGACTCACCAACTCTTCCTCCGAACTCCAGATCAGTCGTCTTGATGGCACTGGCAGTGGGTGGTTTAGTTTGCGGTAATGTCTCCGTCTCTGTCTTTTGCTCCAACTCTACTGTCTTGCCATCGCCCTGGTCCTTCCTGCGCCGTAGATTGTAGCGCCCACCTGCCTGGTTCTCGGATTCAGTCTCTGTCTTCTCCTGTTAGAACATTTCAATGAGAGAGCATACTAAATATGATTACTTTATTCATAAAAAGAATAAATACAAAATATATTTTTAAAGACATCGATACTTTCATTCAGCAGTGATGCGTAAAAGGTGACAGTAAAGACATTTACGTTACAAAAGATTTCTATTTCAAACAAAAATCACAACTGTTTTCAACATTTAATAAGAAATGTTTCTTGAACAACAAATACTAGAACGATTTCTGAAGGATCATGTGACACTACAGACCGGAGTAATGGCTGCTGAAAATTCAGCTTTGTCATCACAAGAATAAATTAAATTTAAAAGAAAATCAATAAAGTTACTTTCAATTTTATCAATATTTTACTGAATTTTTGTCAAATTAATGCAGTCTTGGTGAGCATAAAAAAGACCCCCAACTTTTGAACAACCCCAATACAGCCACTGCTTCCCAGGTTAAGAATCCAATGAAAAAAGTGGCTTATGTACATATTTGTGTTGTGTCATGCTTGAGCACAAAGTTTCAGTGGCAATCAATCTCAACGTCAGTCCAAGTCAAGAAAAAAAACATTAGGATTACACGGTCATACTAGTGTAAAGCTAAAGCCATCTGGTAATGCTTTGTAAAGCCCATTCAATTGTCCCATGAGCAGAAACATGCTGAAAAATGTGAGGGTATGATTAAACAGAGCCCACAGTCAGCTTTAGCTTTGTGTGCACAACTAAATGGGCTCCTGTCACACATGAGAGGCACAACATGCATGCATTATGACATTCCAGCCTTAAAGGGATAATTCACCCAAAAATTAAAATTTGATGTTTATCTGCTTACCCCCAGGCCATCCAAGATGTAGATGACTTTGTTTCTTCAGTAGAACACATTTGATGATTTTTAAGTCCAACCGTTGGAGTCCATCAGTCTTATAATGCATGGCAATGGTAACAAAGTCTATGAGTGTAAAAAAAACATGCACAGACAAATCCAAATTAAACCCTGTGGCTCGTGACGACACATTGATGTCCTAACACACGAAACGATCGGTTTGTGCCAGAAACCGAACAGTATTTATATCATATTTTACCTCTAATACACCACTATGTCCAACTGCTTTGAGCACGCGCACGACTTCCGGTGCGTGAAGCGTGTACGCGCTCTGGCGTAGTTTACGTTAATGGGTGTGTTGTCGCGGGAGGAGCAAACGACAGAGACAGTTTATTAACAGAAAATAAACAGTGTCCAGAAAAAAGGGAATCAAGTGTCCAAAATAAACAGGGGATCTGATGTCCTCGTCGTGCTGCGGGGTTCGTGCAGGGAAGGGCAGTGGTCAGGAAGGAAGGAAGGGTCCAGGTAAGGGGCGGAGTCCGGC